AAGGGACTATCTCATCGGTGATAACTCTAAAATTCTTGTTGAAGGGAAATGCACAATTTTGATTCGCTTAAAGAATGGTACACGTCAGTTTATTACCAATGTTTATTATGTTCCAAAAATGTCAAGCAATATCTTGAGTTTGGGACAACTTCTGGAGAAAGGTTACACTGTTCATATGAGAGATCTTAATCTTATGTTGAGAGATCGAAATAATAAACTGATTGCAAATGTGAAGATGTCGAAGAACAGGATGTTTATTCTTAATATAAAGAGTGAGATCTCTCGATGTCTAAAGGCGTGCGTAGATGATCCTTCATGATTGTGGCATTTGAGGTTCAACCATCTCAATTTTGGCGGACTCAATTTGCTTTCTCTCAAGAAGATGGTTTATGGCTTACCACATATTGATCATCCCGATCAATTATGTGAAGGGTGTGTTATCGGCAAGCATTCCAGAATTAGCTTTCCGAAGGAGGCGACTTATTGAGCGAAGAAGCCGCTTGAGTTGATTCATTCTGATTTGTGTGGCCCGATCAATCCTCACTCATATGGTAATCATCGATATTTTATTACTTTTATTGATGATTTTACTCGGAAAACTTGGGTGTATTTTTTTAAAGAAAAGACAGAAGTGTTGGACACTTTCAAACAATTCAAGAACCTGGCTGAAAAGGAAAGCGGCTATTTTATCAAGACTTTGAGGACTGATCGTGGTAGAGAATTCACCTAAGCCATATTCAACAAATTCTGTGAAAATCATGGTATTCGGCATTTCTTGACGGCCCCGTATTCTCCTCAACAAAACGGTATGGCTGAACGGAAAAATAGAACCATTCTTGATATGGTTCGAAGCATGTTGAAGAGCAAAAATTTGTCCAAGGAACTTTGGGCCGAAGCTGTTTCGTGTGCCGTCTATCTTCAAAATAGATGTCCCACATATGGACTTGAAGGCGTAACTCCACAAGAGGCATGAACCGGGAGAACACCAAGTATTTTGCATTTGAGAATTTTTTGGAGCATTGCCTATGCTCATGTCCCGGACCAAAAAAGATCGAAACTTGAAGACAAGAGCAAAAAGCTCATCTTTATCGGGTATGACTCATCATCCAAAGCCTATCGATTATTTGACCTTAACACTTTGAAAGTATATGTAAGTAGAGATGTTAAGTTCGATGAAGATGGAATGTGGGGAGAAAATTTAAAAGAAGAAGCGAATGTTCGTGGTGATTCCGATCAAACGGAGTTGAAGGATCAACCTTCACCTTCTTCTCCAACATCTTCTTCAAGTTCATCAACACCATCCTCTTCAAATAGTGTCGATGAACCGCTAGTGCCAAGATCGAGAAGATTATCTGAAATTTACGAAGCTACCGAAGAGCTTCATCTTATATGTCTTCTTGCAGATTATGAACCACTTGCTTATGATGATGCGGCCAAAGAAGAAAAGTGGAAAAAAGCCATGAACGAAGAAATTGAAGCCATCGAGAAAAATCAAACATGGGAGCTTCCTGATCTTCCGAAGGACAAGAAATCGATTGGTGTTAAATGGGTGTACAAGGCCAAGAAGAATGAGAAAGGTGAAGTGACAAGGTACAAAGCTAGATTGGTCGCGAAGGGGTACAAGCAAAAAGCCGGAATCGACTATGATGAAGTTTTTGCCCCCGTCATCCGCATGGAAACGATTATATTGATTATTTCCATTGCTGCTCAAAATAATTGGCAGATTTATCAAATGGATGTCAAATCAGCATTCTTGAATGACATCCTTGAAGAAGAAATTTATGTCGAACAACCCAAAAGGTTTGTTGTGAAAGGTCATGAAAACAAAGTTCTGAGATTGAAGAAAGCTCTATATGGGCTTAAACAAGCACCGAGAGCATGGAATTCCAGAATTGATGCATATTTCAAGGCGAATGAATTCTCTCAATGTCCATGCAAGCATGCACTCTATTTGAAGTAAGAAAAAGGTGATATTCTGCTCGCCTGTTTATATGTTGATGATCTTGTTTTTACGGGAAATAATTCGGCGATGATTGATGCTTTTAAGGCATCGATGGTGAAAAAATTTGAGATGACCGATAATGGTCTCATGAATTATTTCCTTGGTATCGAAGTGAAGCAAAGTGCTAATGGGATTTTTATTTCCGAAAAAGGATATGCAGAAAATATCCTTGAAAAATTCAACATGAAGAATTGTATGTTGGTTAATACACCAATGGAGTGTGGAACCAAGCTTTCGAAGTTTGATGATGGTGCCGATGTTGATTCGACATATTATAGAAGCTTGATTGGGAGTTTGAGATACTTGATATGCACGAGACCGGATATTATGTATAGTGTTGGAATTGTGAGTCGATACATGGAGAAGCCGAAATCATCTCATCTTAAAGCTGCAAAGAGAATACTTCGGTACATCAAAGGTACTATTTCTCATGGCTTACACTATTATTGCTTTGAATCTTTCAAACTTAGAGCTTATTCGGATAGTGATTATAGTGGAGATATCGACGATCGAAAAAGCATCACGGGATTTGTATTTTTCTTGTGCGACACTGCTTTCACATGGTCATCAAAGAAGCAACCAAGTGTTACTCTGTTGACATGTGAAGCTGAATATGTAACTGCATCTTCATGTGTTTGTCATGCAATATGGTTGAGAAGACTACTCAAAGATAATCTTATGAAGCAGAATAAAGCAATGGAGATTTTTGTTGATAATGTTTCTGCTATTGCTTTGGCAAAAAATCCAGTTTTTCATGAACGAAGTAAACATATCGACGTTCGATATCACTTCATCCGAGAACAGGTTAAAGAGAATGAAGTTGAAGTATTGCATGTGAAGACCGGAAATCAAGTAGCAGATATTTTTACTAAACTTCTCAAGATCGATACTTTTCGAAAGTTCAAGAGCCTGCTTGGAATGATCGATGGAAGAGAATTTGATTTAAGGGGGAGTGTTAGAAATTAAACCAAATTTGTTGGTACTTGTTTCTTTTTTGAGTCTATTCATATTTTCATATTTTGATTTTTCGTGTTTTTAGGTGAAATAATTATTTTTTCAGATATATGGTGAGATATTAAGAGATATGGTTAGATATTAAGAAATAAGATGAGATATTGTGAGATATTCTTTCTAGTTATATTTTAGGAAAGATAAGGGTCACGTAACTTTTGTTTAAATAAGGAGTCTTGTAATTTTTTCATAAGAGTGACATCTGAGTGAAATATATTGAGTCAGAAAATTCTATCTATCCTCTTCTTTTCTTTGCGCGAGTTGCGATTGTTTCACCTTCATAAATTTCTTTCATCAAATCAACTTGTTGCCGCGTCTCTGACGCTCAACAGTTTCATCCGTGAGTTTTCTAGTCCTCCCCATTCACGAGGAGGAATTTTGCTTTCAATTCCCGAGAAAGCCGGGTCTCCGAAACATCAAAATCCTCCAAGTCTTTCTGCAATCAAGCAGATTGGAGTCACCAGCATAATCATGAGTCAGACAGTTTTTTTAGTTTTTCGAGATGATTCAGTAATCACAACTAAGGTTTCAAAAGATAGCAGGAGGCCAATGGATGCACAATGAGAAAGTGATTCCCCTTTATCCATTTTTCTTCTATCCTCTTTATCCATTTTTCTTCTATGCCTCGTTCTTAACAGTACAGGGTACTTGCGTGTGGTGTGAACAATAGCATAAAAGAGATGAGGGTAGAGTAAAAGATTCATTTCTTCTAAATGAAAAAAGCTTAACAACTGCATCTTCAATGTCAACTCTCGTGCCAGACCAAAAAAAAATGTCAAGTCTCCTGAGACAGGGATATCTACCAAATTTCTTGCCGTAAGACTTTTGACGAGACAATCTTGGGATCGTGCAGGAAACTTCGTACCCTTGGGAACTTCAGAGTTGGCGGCGTTTGACTCAGACTCGATTACGGTCATCTGCAGACCTGCACTTGACAGAGAGCTTCGCGGGGATGGAATACTAAGGTCGGCAGCAGAAGAACCACCCGACCGACCTCCCATGGCAAGTGACCAAAGAAGAGTAAAACGCTGGAATAACTATGAACTGGTCGGACAATCGTCTCGAGTCGCTAATGGACAGCCCCATTAGGCTATTACCTGTGATGCACGTACTCGGGTGAAGTCTCATCTTCATTGGTGACGGAGACTTGAACTGTGACATGCTCAGTTCACCATGCGAGTTGTAGGAGTGACTGACGGTACATTTTATATTTTCATGAGTTACACTGTCCAAAGCTTTTTCTTTTCCAGAGAGATCCTTTGATGCCGGACAAGTGTGGAAACATGATTACCATAAGTCATTTACTATACACATGTTATGCATTCAGAGTCTTTTGAGGAATATCTTTTCAACCGTGCAATAGCTAGACCTGTTATTAAAGTTGATGAGCTCTCATTTGAAGACTCAGAAGTGGCCTGCTGCAATGTTTTGCCACAAAAACATCATTTGCCATCTTGGAGAATAGTATGAAGCCAGTAGGATACTTCATCCCTGATTAGAAACACCCATTCAGAATTTCTGGTATACTGCTATCCTTGAAGCAAGAATAAAAATGGGTGATACCATGAACTACAAATTCTGTTATTTTTTTTTTTTGGTAAGGTAAGAGGATTATATACTTTTCAATTCACAAGATACAGCAGGAAAGCCGTACACAAAAACCTCGTACCTAACGCAACACAGGTGTTGCGATAGTTGCAAAGGTGTAGCGGCTGACTAAAGCTAGCGGGCGCTACAAGCTGCAGGGGCCCTGGTGATAAGAAGAACGAGCTGAGCCTCTAACAAGCGGACTAAAGAGCCACAAAGGAACAACAACTACAGAACATTAAGAAAAATAGATGTCGGGATGTCCCAGCTGGCCTGGATTCTGTTATTAATATCTTCTGCACCTTAAAAAGTAGTATGTGGACAAAAAGGATGCATATCTTTCACAGTCCCAACACTTTGCTCAACAATTTGTAAGTTACGCGACAACCGAAGCTGTCTTTTATCGAGGAGACGACAATGTCATGGTGATTTCATTTGGAGAATTTAATAGATGGCTACAAGTGTGTTCTTGAACCAGCTTCCTTTCATTGAAAAAACCTGGCTCCTTTGGAAGAGGCAATTCATTGTCACTTCCCAGCATCAGAATCACCGCAGAGATGCTCGGCCTATCCTCAGGAAATTGCTGCACGCACAATAGAGCAACATGTATAGACCTTAAGACTGCGGCAGTATTATACGACTCAACCAACTCATCAAGCAGTTCTATGGATCTGTCTTCTGTAAAGAGTCTCCAAGCCTGAATCAAAGACTACAAACCATTAGGGGCAGCTCTTGATTTTTTTTTTTTTGGTTGAAGGGCGGTTCTTGATGTTAAAAGGTGAAAAATATCAAAACTTACATGTCCCACAAGATTATGACAGTGGTCCGGATGATGAAACCCTCTGTTTCTCTTCCCGCTAACAGTCTCAAGCACCAAAACACCATAGCTAAAGACATCCGATTTCATTGAGAAAACTCCGTCAATGGCATACTCTGGAGACATATAGCCGCTGAAGAAATTGATGGGTTAAGAAATATCAGTTCAAAAGAAAATTTAGCACAAAGGTCTTAACTTTAGATAAAAGTCCTTACTAAGTTCCAACCACTCTGATAGTGTTTGCCTCTGTCTCATCCCCTACGAAGCATTTAGCCGTGCCAAAATCAGAGATCTTAGGGTTCATCTCATTATCTAACAATATATTGCCAGCTTTTAGATCTCTGTGGATGATCCTGAGTCTGGAATCTTGATGAAGGTAAAGAAGCCCCCTAGCAATTCCATTAATGACGCCAAAGCGGGCTGACCAGTCAAGTAGCTTTCTCTGGTTTTGATCTGCCAAATTTTTGTTCACGTTAGTAAAGCATGTTCCTGTTCAAATGGAGAACTAAGGCATTAAGTCTGTGTTTAATTAAACTAATGGTACTATTACTGTTCTGTTTCCTCTCCATTTCGCAAGTAAACAACATTCAGGTGCTAGATCCAATCGTTAGACCTCTCGACAAATGACTCAGAAGCCAGTGCTACATCAATAGTATTATAAAGCTTACAAGCTCTAGTATGCTTTATGGAAGTAAGACAAACCAAAGAGACAGGAATCTAAGCTGTTGTTGGGCATGAACTCGTAAATCAACAAAACTTCTTCCTGAATGCAGCATCCCAGAAGCTTTACGAGGTTTCGGTGCTGAAGCTTTGCAATATATAGGACTTCATTTTTGAACTCGTGTAGCCCTTGCCTTGAGTCCCTTGAAAGTTTCTTCACGGCGATTTCTTGGCCATCCTCCAACACCCCCTGCAAATAGTTGTCATACATCAACTGTCTAGTTATTTTGGTTGCTATCTTTTTGGTGGCTTGAATGCTCACAGTAATTTTAGCCTTTTCGAAATTGAGTTATTCAGCCTCCCATCTTCATCTTCAAATCATGTGTATGAATTTTTAAGAAGAGCTGATTATTTAAAAGTCTTCGAATAATATTAATCAATATTTGAGTAAAATCCACAAAAGATACATGAAATTACAAACAAGCTGCTTTAAATTGCCAATACACAATGTGAAAATAATAACTAAAACGGCCATCACCGTCTTATCCTTTCAAGCTTTCAAGAACTAAAGTAAGGTCTACAGGACAGTACCTTCTAATGCAAGTATTTTACCATGCTGAAGAAAAATGGGGGCATTTCATTAAATAGAACAGTGTACTTCTCGAGGATAGTATGCATTATTTTATCACCTTGTAGACAGGTCCAAAACCGCCCTCCCCCAACTTATTTTCTTCTGAGAAGTTGTTGGTAGCAATAGCTACTGTACCCAAGTCAAACACTGGTAACTCAAGATCTTCCTTTTGGCATTCAGAGTTGTCTACTGATTCAAAACTGTCATCTTTACCTGCAGCAAGAACAAAGATGTGGTCACAGAACATGCAGGGATATAAAACGGTGCTATGACAGAAATAAGACTTATTGTGAAAACAAAAAGAGTGCAGTAATAGAAAAGATACTAGGATATCTTGTAAAATCCGTATTTGCATGGAAGAAAAAGGCTAGTTCAATATCATCGTATCAAAGAGCCAGCAGATTAGGAAGTCCTATGCATAAACTAGTCTAGCATACACTAGGAGTGCAGGGAACAAAACTGCCAGTGAGATCGGTGGCAGCACACAGTATAATATGGTTTACCTTTAAGATGCTTCATTTTCTTCCTCTTGTTCTGTAGAATACAGAAAGTTAGAACCAGACATAGGGAAAAAACCCCGAAAGAAACTGCCAAGCCCATGAACAGCTTTTGCTTCTTTTGCTTTGACTGTAGTAGATCTAAGACAAGCAGCAAAGCATACAGATCAAGAGTTAGAACCAGGTATTACGGGCACAACACTTCTTTAAGTGGTTCGTCACATTTGTGGGACTATTTTTCTCTTCGGGTGTTAGCAAATTCTTGTCTATACTCTATGAATACCTGATTCTGAGGCTGCCATCCTGATGTAGAGGTCTTGCCCGTTCTGGTTTAGCTCTCTAATGTCAATTAACTCTCCAAACCACAACAAGCAACCGCTCCCTCGTCCTCTGATGTCCAAGTTCGAATAAGCCATGCAGGAACAATTTTTCTTGCAAACTTCTTTGCATTCTTGAAGACTCATACCCTTATTAAACCAAGAATTACTCGTATCTGGCAATTTCACCCCAGAATACTTCACAAATTTGTCCTTTCCGCAATCCAGAGGGGTTGTCCGGACACACCCATTTGACCAATCCAAGATATCCCATTCTTGAGAGTACTTGGGTGTGAATCCTGTCAAGCACCTGCATACTGGGGACGCATCAATCTTACAGCTACCATAGGCACCACATAATGCATAGGTGTCACAGTTGTCCCTCGGTATAGTAAGGTAAGGTGTCCAACCCTGCGTTCGATCAATCCAAGTGACACGTTGTACGATGCCATTTGAACTTAATACCAGCCTGGAAATGAACGAACTGTCAACGAGCTCGAAGTGGTAGTAAATCTCATCGTCATCCAACACAAATTCGCAATTGTAATATGGGTTAGGATCTTGATTAGGCATTCCACTATATCGAACACCATTCCATGGTCCCAGCCGGAACTTGACAACAGAACCTTGCTTCACTAGGCTTTGTGGGAAGCCATTTGGGTCAATTTCATGTGTAAAGTTACCTGGAGAAGGATCATCAATGCTCTTCCATGACGTTAAATATCGTTTGAAGCCCGTTGTTCGATTCAGTCCCATCTTCATGCCCGCTAGAAGCGTGTCTGTTGGATAATCGAAACTCTGCCACAATAAAATACTAGAACCAGTTCCACCTACATCTTTCACAATAAGATTCCCTGAATCCAAGAGCTGTGCGACCGGATTTCGTGCATTTGTGGACGAGTTGGATGACCAAATTTCACTTCCATTTGCGTTCAGAAGGACAAGACTTCCCAAGCCAGTAAACTTCAAAGTGCCTGATGAATCCACAAGCGGTGTGTCTCTATTTGCAACCCATACTACTGTCATTGTGGTTACCTTTTTGTACGATATCCCAAGATATCGCCTTGACGGGACGCCGGTGCTGAAGAATTCTAGTTGAAATGTCCCACCAGCCGAAACTAGGCTCTCACCGTCTTGGATGGACTGATTCACAGTGATGGTATCTAGTGCCTCGGAAACTTGAGCAACGTAAGGTGAAGAGGCATAAAAAAGAAAAATCATGGAAAAAGACAGTATGGTTCTCATTGTGTTTGAAGCTGGCCAAGATTATCACAATGGCTGATTGAACTACAACTTAGGTAAGTCACAATTAGTATTGTGACTAAAAGGGCTGTATCCATTGAATTTCAAGGTCAACGCTTGCAAGTCATTCGGAGATATCTACCAAATTCCTGCGGCAAGTCTTTCTTTATTAAGAGCAAAATTATGCAAAAATTGAAAACATAAGGGGTTAGCTTATTGTTCTTTAATCAACTTGGATTAGTTACAAGTCTTTTGTATCAAGAAAGATTCCAAGCTCTAAGCCGCTTGACCAAAGATGAATGGCTCATTTGGTTCATAGAATTGGGACGACCGTTTCGTAGTCGACCCACTTGACTGTATTATTGCCATTTTTTTATCTGGTGATAAGATGACCAAGTATAAATCAGTAATATGGTAATTCTGTGCTGCCGTCTGATTAGAAATGGATGAATCTATGGTTCGTATTGCTAGCTATAGCTGGCATCACTTGTTAGATCACCGAAAAACTTGCTACACCTGTGTAAGGATTGCTATTGACTGATATACTCGAAATTGCTTCAGATTATATAAAAGTTACTAATAATGCATGAATTTTACTAATTATAGATAGGCTGAACATCTTAAAAACCCTCAAACTTCGTGATTTTTTTAACTTCAAAACTATAGAAACACTAGAATTCGCTCTCTTCTTTTTGTTTTTTTCAAATGTAGCATCCCTTAGTTAACAACCGACGTTAATGACATGCTAAAAAAATGACGGTTGTTGGGGGCAACATTTAATATTGGTAATTAAAAATAGCAATCGATATTTTAAGCTAAGAGAAGACAATTTCTAATTTATTAGAGGAAAAAAAGAGAGAATGGGTGGAGGAAGAGAGAACTAACCAGTAACCACTTTCTTGTACCATCGTTCATCTTCATCACCGTTGACCCCTATCAACGAACTACAACAGCCGATCACCACCACAGAACAACCATCGAGTTGAGATCAATGAAAGAAAGAGAGAGAGAGTGTGTGATGATATTAAGCATCCTTCCCTTCATCCCCGGCTTTACATGCACTGGTACAATTTGCAAGCTCTATTCCTCTCATGGGTGAAGGGAGATCCCTCGGTGGCCATTGTCTATCATATGGTTATCCCTGAAAGATAGGCAACTTTTTCAGTGGTCGATTAAATACTCTCTCTTTGGACCAAAACCAAAAAGTCAAATACTTTCTCTATGCTCATTGGCGTTTCTCCATGAAAAAAAAAAAGGCAAAACACCCATCTTGAGGAGTGTCTAATCTCTGAAACACCATGTTGAAGTACACGGTTCTACGTTAAGTCGGTATTTTTGAGTATTAGAAGGAAAACGTGTGGTTGAAAAGTAATGCAATTCTTTCACTGTCTCAACATATTTTGCTGGCCGTCGTAAGCGGTACCCTAAGATCACCATAGCTAGTATCTAGAAATAGACTAATGGATTAAAGAGATTTGTACACTTGATTTGGAATCCATTGTTATTAATACGGAATAGCAATTATCTAAAGTTCAAGTGCTCTCTCTATTGCCCTCTCCTCGTGAGGCAATTCTATAATTGCTCTTTATGTGAGGTTGTTTTGTGCATTAGAGTTAAATGAGAGATTTCAGCTTTATTTATAGAGTTTTCAGCTAGGCTCTCTCATCACGGGCCGAGCTTAACTCGGCCCACACAAGCCAGACCCATATTAGACTAATTAAGATTATTTATATCTTACCTTATTATACCAAACCCGTAAAGTGATAAATTACAATCTAAATTAATGTAGCCCACATTAGAAAAACTCTTACATTTTTTCTCAATTATCTTTGGAGCTAGATCACGCAAGCTATCATCCATCGAGCAGACAACAGTTATCATGGTGATTTTGTCTAGAGAAGGTGATAACTAGCCAGAAGAAGGGTGTTCTTGAAGCAGCTCTCTCTCATTGAAAAAACTTGGCTCTATTGGAAAAAGCTATTAGATGAAAGTTTGTTTTAATATTTAAATATTCTAAAATTGAATTCTTGTCCAAATTATCAAGCAATTTCATGAACCTGCCCTCTCTAAATAGTCTCCAAGCCTGACCAAATTGACGCCAAACGATAAAAGGCAATTCTTGATGTTGGTAGGCGAAAAGTCTTAGAACTTACATGTCCAAGAAGATTATGAGGGTGGTCGGGGTGCTGAAACCTCCGTTTCTTTCCCCATTAACGATATTGAGCACCAAAACACCAGAGCTGAAGACATCGAAGAAAATTCCGTTGATGGCATACTCCAGAGCATGTAACCACTGCAGAAACCAAAGCACTGAGAAACCATCACCAATCAAGCGATTTGAGCACAAAGGTCATAACTTTTTGCATATTTCTTGCTATGCTCCAATTACTCTGTTAGTGCTTGCCTCTGTCTCATTCCCTGGGAAGCTCTTGGCCAAGCCAAAATCAGATATCTCGGGGTTCATCTCATTATCTAGCAATATATCGCTAGCTTTACATATCTGTGAATAATCCTGAGTCTAGAATCTTGATGAAGGTAAAGAAGTCCCCTAGCAATTCCATTGATGATGTGAAAGCGGCTTCACTACTCTAGCAGCTTCCTCTGCGCTTCATCTGTCAAAAAGTCATTTGCATTAGTAAAGTATGCATATCTAGCAATGTACGGGGAGAAGTAAATAAGGTATCGAGTTTGTCATTTTGCTAACTGATGCTGCTCTAGTAAGTTTCCTTTTACACTGATATACACGAGGCTGACATGCTAGGTCTAATCATCAGACCTCTCGTCAAAAGCCTCCAGTAATTGGTAAAATCATCAAGAAAGAGTATCTTTGAGCTTATACAAAACCTCCGGCATGCTTCTGATGAACCGAGGAAGAAAGCAACCCAAAGAGAAATGAGGCCAAGCTTCTGTTGGGCAGGAATTCATAGATTAACTGAGTTTCTTCCTGAATGCTGCATCTTAGAACCTTCACAAGTTTGCAATGCTGAAGTATGGAAACAGAAAGAAATTCATTCTTGAATTCGTGCAGGCCCTGCCTCGAGTTCCTTGAAAGCTTCTTCACTGCAATTTCTTAACCATCCTCCAACACACCCGGCAGAAGTTCAACTTTGCGCTCTAATGGAAAATATAAATTTTCACCATAATTTCGCTCGCAGTAGCTTTGGCATTTTGGAATCAAGCTTTCAGCCTCTTACCTACATCTTGAGATCACCTGTTGGAATTTTCATCCTAACCTACCATGCCATAGATAATGAGACACAACGGTGTAAACTAAAGACTTATCTTTATTGATAGTCTTTGGGTACAAGAATTTTGAGTTAGCATCAATTATAGCCACATTGGCTTTGAACAAGTCATTATAGAAGTATCATTTCCCCACATACATCCCCTTCGGAAAATACAAACTTGTTATATTCAAATACAATTTTGAAACCCTTCTTGACAAGTATGGGGCCAAAAATGAGATTTCCGGTACATACGCACATTTTGCAAGATGAGCTCTTTGTCGGAGGTGAACTTCAGGATCGCATTTCCTCTCTCGGCAATTTTTACTGATGTAGAATTAGCCATATAAATCATCTCTTCTTCCTCAGCCTTCTCGAAAGATGAGAACATGCGATTATTCACACAAATGGGATTTGTGGCATTTGTGTCCAACTATCAATCGGTATTTTTTGATACCAATGATATCTTAGATACCACCACAGCAGTTAGTCTCTCATCATCATCCTACTCTATCAGATTAAGCTGCTTGGCTGCATCACTGCGTTTGCCTTTGTTTAGGTGCTTCTTGCAATCCTTAGCCCAATGGCCAAGCTTATTACAAACAAAACATGTCCCTTGGAATTTCTAGGACTATTCGTTATGCCTGCCTTTTCCTTGAAAGGACTTCTTCCTCTTCCTATCTTAATTGGAATTGGAAAGCCCAACAATGTTGATCTTTGATTCAATAGGTGGGTTTGCATTACACACGTTGTCCTCCTCAATTCTAAGGTGCAAAATGAGATTTTCAAGGTTCATCTCTTTCCGTTTGTGCTTCAAATAATTTTTGAAATCTGACTAGCCCGGATACAGCTTCTCAATAATAATTGCCACTTTGAATGATTCACTAAATAATATTCCCTCAACAAAGATGTCGTTCAAAATTATTTGCAATTCCTCGACATGATTCATGATAGATTTAGAATCCACCATCTTGAAATCCGGGAATTTGGCAACCACGAATTTCTTGGTGCCCGCGTCCTCAGTTTTGTATTTCTTTTCTAAGGACTCTCATAACTGTTTAGCAGTTTCAATGTTACAATAAATATTAATAGAGAATTTACCAAACAGTTAAGGATATAGTTTTGGCATAGGAAATTCCCGTGCTTCCAAGTCTCCAACGCCCCTAGCGTTGTGACATCTTACTCATCTGGACTAATTATCAGGCACAACTCCGATAAGTACTTGACCAGATTCAGCGTGGTCAGATAGAAGAACATTTTTTGGTACCACTGCTTAAAGCCCACACCGGTAAATTTCTCTGGTTTCTCATTCGATGTTGCTAGATGTGGTACCATCAAATTAGGCAAAGCCTATTGAACCATCCCTCAAGAAATTGAACCATATGCTATTTAGCCTGTATTGTTTTGAAAAATAGTCCTGGGTATACTAGTCGTACCATAGATGGCTTCGGCACGAAGGCTTTTTGATGAGTTGTTTGATGGAACGGAGAGGAGAAAAAGAAGGTGGTTTGGCGAAAGAATAGTAGGGATTAATAAGGGGGAGATGAGTTTCCGAAATTTTACTATCTTCATTAAGGTATGAAACCTCATAAAGATAGTCAATTTTAGAAACATTTGAAGTGCAAAGATCTAAAGGGGCATTCATAGTGACTGGTGGAGTAGTATAAATAGAATCACTCATGATGAAACAAATCTACCTTTTCCACCTGGTATTTCATCTAAAAACAAACAAGTATGCTAAATAGAGCGCTGGCACTAATACCATAAAAAAGGTGCTAAGATGCAAACTAGGGAAGACGAAGACAAGGCTAGTGGTAAGTATGATATCCCACACACAAACGGCTCTCCAGGCCTTTATAAAAGAGACTGCCTTTTAGCCACCCAACCTCTCTTCGAATTTTGATTCGCACTTTAGAACTCCTTTATAGTAGCAGGATTCTGATGCACAGGTTCTATATCACGGCAAGTGCAGAGCATACTATCAAGACTAATCAACGCACATACGTTTGTTTAGAGAATCATACCAGGCAGAAGTGAAGATTCAGGGATTCATAATACACAGATTTTATTTCTTGAGGAGCGGATTCTGTCCGCCAATATTACAGGCATGGCCTTTTATAGACACGAATATAGATACGATTACACAAACGAACAATTATTGATGAGGTTCTGGAGGTCGTTAATAATTTAATACTCTACGACTGACTCTAAAGACTTTTACATCGACATATGACTTGTTCAACCTACAGATGACTGACAAACACATAAAAAGCTTTCGAACGACATTTTTCTTTATTGATACAGTGCCGCTACGATACTGCTGCAGTGTCGAACAATGCTTGAATAGTGCGCTACAGTAATGAACAGTGCGTGAACGGTGCATGAACAGTAATTTTCCCTACAACAAACTGATTTTTCAAACGCGCTTGTCATAGCTTCAGAAGTCATATTTATGGATAGTTTCTTCAGTATTGTCATCATCAGAGCTGTTCGAACTATCTCTGTCCTTTTGTCTCTTGTAATTTTTGAGGATTTGTTCAATTTTCGTAGTTTCGATGTCCATATTTTCATGAAGTTCCGAAGACTTTTGCTTTTTTCGTGAAGACTATGGAACGTCTACAGAACTTGAGGCAATATCAAAGGAACTTGAAGGCATACGTGGCTGAGGAAAATTCTCTAATTATAGTGACAGATTATCTTTGTCATCGCCTAGACTGAGTGCTAGTTGTAGCTCACTGTAATCATATGGGTTTTGTGATAATGGTCCTCCCCATGGATCCTGTGACTGAGAGACTTGAGATGAGGACAAGGCTTCTTGAGATGAGGACGAGGCAGCTGTATCTGAAGCAGCAATAGCATTCATATTTGCTTGCATATCTATGCCACAATATTGTCCCAATGCTATATCAATTATCGCTTGATAGCTGTGATCAACCGGATGATCCCAAGACACATTGCTAGAACTGGCTGGCCATACTTCTGGTGGTATCACGTGGTTGTATTGGCACAAAAATCTCTGAAGTTCTCTATATTCCTGGGAAAGTGCTAAGATTTTGCATGGAAGGGTTTTGTAGAACTTTTCTGGAACTGGCTGAGGTTTGTAGGTAGATTTTCCTACATCAAATGGAGTTTTGCTCACGTCTCCGTTTGGACGAATAAAAACCCATGGCCTGCTAAACATAATTATTGTATGCAATTCTGGGTTGGGTCTATAGGCTCTAAGCTGCTCCTAGAACATGCATTTCCAAGCTCCCAATGGTTTGAACCAATTAAGTATGTCACCCAAATGGTTAAACTTCTTTTCTCCTGAGAGAATTCTACTAATAATGAAAATAATTTTGTTTGTTGGAAATTCAATGGCTATGATATAAAGATTGAACAAACACCAACAAAATCACTTGAATTCCTCTGGGAATTCGTCTTTAAGATTGAGGGAGATAGGATGAATGAAAGGATATTCTGGATACAGTCCGCTGGGTCTGAAACTTAATCCTCCAAATCTGCTGAAAATTAGCAGTTGATATTTCCACACTAATGCTGGCAAATTTTCATAAAGGGTGTTGTTCTTGATGTATTGAGGAACTTCTGGTGGATACTGCCTGCTTGGCCAAGAAGGTTTCATCTTGGTGGGTTTGAATCCACCGAATGGATTTCGCGATACATACATGTTTTATGGATGAAACTGGTGCAACAAATTCTTTTGGCCTGGATAAGAAATCAGCAAGCACATTCTTCTTTTCTGCTATATGCTTGGTTTTAAATGAATACTTTGAAAATCATTCTGCCCATCTGAGGAGTTGAGGATGAGGAATTTGCTTTTGTTTGAACTTCAGTATCTAGGAGAATAAAGACATATCTAGTTCCACTAGAAAATGATGTCCAATAAGGGAAAATTCAAACTTCTTGATGCTATATTTTACCGCCAAGATTTTCTTGAAGGTTGAGTGATAATGCATTTCACTTGGCGTAAATCTTCCACTTTTGTGTCCACAGATCTTACGCTTGCCATCAATTTCTTCGAATAGGATAGTAGCCCAATATTCATCACCGGCATCTATTTGCAGAACTCTTTTCCCAGTAGAAGGGATTTGTAAGGGAGGAAGATGCTGCATGACTTCCTTAAGCCGGCTGACTGATTTAGTTTGTTATGGTCCCAATGAAGGGGTATCCTTTTTTAGCATCTGCTCTAGTAGACTCACCAAACTGGTGATTTTTGGAACAAAAACTCTGAGATAATTGACTATCCCAAGAAACTGTTGGATCTGTTTGAGAGAAAGATTTTCATCAGGAAATTTCTGCAATTCTTCAGCAATATGGGGACCGGGATAATATGTCCCGTCCTTAAGATGCATTCTGAGAAATTCAATTTCCCGTTAGGCAATAATCATCTTCTTTTGGGATAGCATGATGCCATATTTCTGGACCAATTCAGCAAATTGGCTTAGCAATTTACAATGATAATCCTCATCAAAGCTGTAGAGGAGGATGTCATCAATGTAAATTGAGTATTGGTCATAATAGCTTGAAAGATTCTACACATAGCTTTCTGGAATAATGAATGAGCTGTTTTAAGACCAAAAGGAAGCACCGTCCACTGGAAGTGTTGATTGGGGATGCAAAATTCAGCTTTATACCTGTCATCTAGATGAATTCCCAATTGGCAGAATCCAGCTTTGAGGTCAAATTTGGAATAGACCCTAACTTGAGTGAGGCTGGAGAATAACGAATTCCGGTGGGGTAATAGGAACTTGTCATCTTGGAGGAATTGCTTGAGTGGCTGGGACACCTAATTTTTAGCCGACGCGTCATTAAAAGCAAAAAATTCGAGATTATGGTTTCTGATCGCGACGGAACCCGTTTTTTGAACAAAAAGTGTCGTTTTTTAATTATGTTTGTTAGCTTAGCTTCTGTAGAGGATTTACCATTCATTTCATGTAAAAACCCGAAAAGTCAAATGATTGACTTTTTGATCAACCATTTGATCAAAAGTCAACGCCGGGTCAAATTGGGGCTTTTCGCATGATTGACGTATTGGAGCTCTTTACTTTTGAAATTACTAGTAGATTTGCAGGTGATTTACCTGTGCTCACTCTTCTGTAGCGCTCCAATTTGGTTCATCCGTGAGTTTTCCAATCCTTTCATGAGGAGGAATTTTGCTTTCAATTCCCGAGAAAGCCGGGTCTCCGAAACATCAAAATCCTCCAAGTCTTTCTACAATCAAGCAGATTGGAGTCACCAGCATAATCATGAGTCAGACAGTTTTTTTAGGTTTTCGAGATGATTCAGTAATCACAGCTAAGGTTTCAAAAGATAGCAGGAGGCCAATGGATGCACAATGAGAAAGTGATTCCTCTTTATCCATTTTTCTTCTATGCCTCGTTTTTAAAAGTACAGGGTACTTGCGTGTGGTGTGAACAATAGCATAAAAGAAACGAGGGAAGAGTAAAAGATTCATTTCTTCTAAATGAAAAAAGCTTAAAAACTGCATCTTCAATGTCAACTCTCGTGCCAGACCAAAAAAAAATGTCAAGTCTCCTGAGACAGGGATATCTACCAAATTTCTTGGAGTAAGACTTTTGACAAGAGACAATTTTGGGATCGTGCAGGAAACTTCGTACCCTTGGAAACTTCAGAGTTGGCGGCGTTTGACTCGGACTCGATTACGGTCATCTGCAGAGCTGCACTTGATAGAGAGCTTCGTGTGGATGGAATACTAAGGTCGACAGCAAAAGAACCACCCGACCAACCTCCCATGGCAAGTGACCAAAGAAGAGTAAAACGCTGGAATAACTATGAACTGGTCGGACAATCCTCTCGAGTCGTTAATGGACAGCCCCATTAGGCTATTACCTGTGATGCACGTACTCGGGTGAAGTCTCACCTTCATTAGTGAAGGAGACCTGAAATGTGAAATGCTCAGTTCACCGGGCGAGTAGTAGGAGTGATTGACGGTACATTTTATATTTTCACGAGTTACACTGTCCAATGCCTTTTCTTTTCCCGATAGATCCTTTGATGCCAGACAAGTGTGGAAACATGATTGCCTTAAGTCATTTACTATACACATGTTATGCATTCAGAGTATTTTGAGGAATATCTTTTCAACCATGCGGTAGCTGAACCTGTTATTGAAGGTAATGACCTCTCATTTGAAGACTCAGAAGTGACCTGCAGTAATGTTTTGCCACAAAAACATCATTTGCCATCTTGGAGAATAGTATGAAGCAAGTAGGATGCTTCATCCCTGATTAGAAACACCCATTCAGAGTTTCTGGTATAGTGCTATCCTTGAAGCAAGAATAAAAATGGGAAGTACCATGAAGTACAAATTCTGATCTTAATATCTTCTGCACCTTAAAAAAGGAGCATGTGGAGAAACAGGATGCATGTCTTTCACAGTCCCAACACTTTGCCCAACTATTTTTGTAAGTTACATGACAACCGAAGCTGTCTTTTATCGAGGAGACAACAATGTCATGGTGATTTCATTTGGAGAATGTAACAAATGGCTAGAAGCATGTTCTTGAACCAGCTTCCTTTCATTGAAAAAACCTGGCTCCTTTGGAAGAGGCAATTCATTGTCACTTCCCAGCATCAGAATCACCACAGACATGCTCGGCCTCTCCTCAGGACATTGCTGCACGCACAATAGAGCAACATGTATAGACCTTAATACTTCAGCTGTATTATACGACTCAACCAACTCATCGAGCAGTTCAAGGGACCTGTCTTCTGTGAAGAGTCTCCAAGCCTGAACCAAAGACTCCAAACGATTAGGGGCAGTTCTTGATGTTAAAAGGTGATTAATATCAGAACTTACATGCCCCACAAGATTATGACGGTGGTCCGGATGACAAAACCCTCTGTTTCTCTTCCCGCTAACAGTCTCAAGCACCAAAACACCATAGCTAAAGACATCCGATTTCATTGAGAAAACTCCATCAATGGCGTACTCTGGAGACATGTAGCCACTGAAGAAATTGATGGGTTAAGAAAAATCAGTTGAAAAACAACTTCAGCACAGAGGTCATAACTTTAGATAGAAGCCCTTACTAAGTTCCAACCACTCTGATAGTGTTTGCCTGTGTCTCATTCCCTACGAAGCATTTAGCCGTGCCAAAATCAGAAATCTTAGGGTTCATCTCATTATCTAACAATATATTGCCAGCTTTTAGATCTCTGTGGATGATCCTGAGTCTGGAATCTTGATGAAGGTAAAGAAGCCCCCTAGCAATTCCATTAATGATGCCAAAGCGAGTTGACCAGTCAAGTTGCTTTCTCTGGTTTTGATCTGCCAAATTTTCATTCACGTTAGTAAAGCATGTTCCTATTCAAAAAGAGAAGGCATTAAGTCGGTATTTCATCAAACTATTGGCACTACTCTTGTTCTGTTTCCTCTCCATTTCACAAATAAACAGCATACAGGTGCTAGATCCGATCATTAGATAGCTCGACAAACGACTCAGAAGCCAGTGCTATCATCAATAGTGTTATAAAGCTTACAAGCTCTAGCATGCTTATGGAATTGTGGAAGTAAGACGAACCAAAGAGACGGGAATCCAAGCTGTTGTTGGGCATGAACTCATAGATCAACAAAACTTCTTCCTGAATGCAGCATCCTAGAAGCTTCACAAGGTTTCGGTGCTGAAGCTTCGAAATATACAGGATTTCATTCTTGAATTCAAGTAGCCCTTGCCGTGAGTCCCTCGAAAGTTTCTTCACTGCGATTTCTTGGCCATCCTCCAACACCCCCTGCAAATAGTTGTCATACATCAACTTAATAATTATTTTGCTCGCTATCTTTTTGGTGGCTTGAATGCTCACAGTAATTTTAGCCTTTTCGAAACTGAGTTATTCAGCCTCCCATTTTCATCTTGAAATCATGTGTATGAATTTTCAAGAAGAGATGATAGTTTAAAAGCCTGTGATAATATCAACCAATATATGAGTAAAATCAAGAAAAGATTCTTGAAATTATGAACAAGCTGATTTAAATTGCTGATGAACATTGTGAAAATAAAAACTAAAATGCCATCACAGTCTATCCTTTCAAGAACAAAAATAAGGTCTACAGGACAAGCATCTTCTAACGCAAGTATTTTACCATGCTGAAGAAAAACAAGGTAATTTCATCAAATAGAATAGTGAACTTCTCGAGGATAGTATGCATTATTTTATCACCTTGTAGACAGGTCCAAAACCGCCCTCCCCCAACTTATTTTCTTCTGAGAAGTTATTGGTAGCAATAGCTACTGTACCCAAGTCAAACACTGGTAACTCAAGATCTTCCTTTTGGCATTTAGAGTTGTCTCCTGATTCAAAACTGTCATCTTTACCTGCAGCAAAATCAAAGATGTGGTCAAAGAACATGCAGGGATATAAAACGGTGCTATGACAGAAATAAGACTTACTGTTGAAACAAAATGAGTGCAGTAATAGAAAAGATACTTGGATTTCTTGCAAAATCCATACTTGCATGTAACAGAAAGGCTAGTTCAAAAGCTAAATGGAGTGCGCAGAACTCATGATGCGAGGTCCGCTTTAAATTTCCCTATTGTTCTGAAGATTTTTATCCTTGAGAATCATGGAATCATTTTCTTCCTACATAAGCTACGCTTGGCCAATGCTATTGCTTAATCTGATATGTCTAGTTACCAATTGCCAATTCGAAACCAAATTTTAAGTTTTTAATCAATTGTTGGTGATTTACCTAGTAAGCATAATGAGTAAGATCAGTGAGAAATTGAGTTCACAAAATGGGAAAAAAAACCATAAATAGAAAGTTTTCACTCCAATATCATCGTATCAAAGAGCTAGCAGATTAGGAAGTCCTATTCATCAACTAGTCTAGCATACACTAGGAGTGCATCGAACAAACTGCAAGTGAGATCGGTGGCAACACACAGTATAATATGGTTTACCTTTATGATGCTTCATTTTCTTCCTCTTTTTCTGTAGAATACAGAAAGTTAGAACCAGACATAGTATAACAACCCCGAACGAAATTGCCAAGCCAATGAACAGCGTTTGCTTCTTTCGCTTTGACTGTAGTAGATCTAAGACAAGCAGCAGGGCATACAGATCAAGAGTTAGAACCAGGAATTACCGGTACAACACTTCTTTAAGTGATTCGTCAAAGTCGTGGGACCATTTTTTTCTTCAGGTTTTAGCAAATTCTTGTTTATACTCTATGAATACCTGATTCTGAGGCTGCCATCCTGATGTAGAGGTCTTGCCCATTTTGGTTTAGCTCTCTAATGTCAATTAACTCTCCAAACCACAGCAAGCAACCGCTCCCTCCTCCTCTGATGTCCAAGCTCGAATATGCCATACAGGAACAATTTTGCTCGCAAACTTCTTTGCAATCTTGAAGATTCATACTCTTATTAAACCAAGAATTACTTGTATCTGGCAATTTCACCCCAGAGTACTTCACAAATATGTCCTTTCCACAATCCAGAGGAGTTGTCCGGATGCACCCATTTGACCAATCCAAGATACCCCATTCTTGAGAGTACTTGGGTGTGAATCCTTTCAAGCACCTGCATACTGGGGACTCATCAATCTTACAGCTACCATAGGCACCACATAATGCATAGGTGTCACAGTTGTCTATTGGTACAGTAAGGTAAAGCGTCCAACCCTGTGTTCGATCAATCCAAGTGAAGCGCTGTACAATGCCATTTGAACTCAATACCAGCCTGGAAATGAACGAACTGTCAAGGAGCTCGAAGTGGTAGTAAATCTCATCATCATCCAACACAAATTCGTAACTGTAATATGGGTTAGGATCTAGATTAGGCATTCCGCTGTATCGAACACCATTCCATGGTCCCGACCGGAACTTGACAACAGAACCTTGCCTCAGGAGGCTTTGTGGGAAGCCACTTGGGTCGATTTTATATGTAAAGTTACCTGGAGAAGGATCATCAATGCTCTTCCATGACGTTAAATAGCGTTCAAAGCCTGTTGTTCGATTCCTTCCCATCTTCATGCCCGCTAGAAGTGTGTCTGTTGGGTAATTGAAACTCTGCCACAATAAAATACTTGAGCCAGTTCCATCTACATCTTTCACGACAAGATTTCCTGTATCCAAGAGCTGTGCAACTGGATTTCGTGCATTTGTGGACGAGTTGGATGACCAAATTTCACTTCCATTGGCGTTCAGAAGGACAAGACATCCCAAGCCAGTAACCTTCAAAGTACCTGATGAATCCACAAGCGGTGTGACTCTATTTGCAACCCATACTACTGTCATAGCGGTTACCTTTTTGTACCATATCCCCAGATATCGCCTTGACGGGACACCAGTGCTGAAGAATCCTAGTTCAAACGTCCCACCTGCCGAAACTAGGCTCTCACCATCTAGGATGGACTGATTCACAGTGATGGTATCTAGTGCCTCGGAAACTTGAGCAACGTAAAGTGAAGAGGCATAAAAAAGAAAAATCATGGAAAAAGACAGTATGGTTCTCATTGTGTTTGAAGCTCGCCAAGATTATCACAATGGCTGATTGAACAACCACTCAGGCAAGTCACAATTAGTATTGTGACTAAAAGGGTTGTATCCATTGAATTTCAAGGTCAACGCTTGCAAATCATTCAGAGATATCTACCAAATTTCTTGCCGCAAGTCCATCTTTAATTAGAGCAAAATTATGCAAAAATGGAAAACACTTGGAATCTTCCACGTAAGAGGTTAGCTTACCGTCTTTTCATCAACTTGGACTAGTTATATGTCTTTTGTATCAAAAAAGATTCCAAGCTTTAAGCCGCGCGACCAAAGATGAATAGCTCTTTGGTTCATAGAATGGCATGACCGGGCTTTTCCGTAGTCGACCCACTTAACAATACCACTGCCATTTTACCCTGGTGATAAGATAAATAAGGATAAATCAGTAACATGGCAATTATGTGCTTCTGTTTAATTAGAAATGGATGAATCTGTGGCTCGTATTACCAGCAATAGCTGGTATCACTTGTTAGATCACCGAAAAACTTACTAAACCTGTGTAAGGATTGCTATTGACTGATATCCTTGAAATTGCTTCAGATTATAGAAAAGTTACTAATCGTGCATGAATTTTACTAACTATAGATAGGATGAATATCTTAAAAGCCCTCAAACTTCGTAGTTTTTTTTAACTCCCAAACTATATAAACACTAGCATTTACTCTCTTCTTTTTCTTGTTTTTAAGAGTAGCATCCCATAGTTGACCGCTGACCTTAAAATGAAGGTCGTTGGGGCAACATTTAATATTGGTAATTAAAAATAGCCATCAATATTTTCCATTAAGTGTAATATTTGGACTTTTTGATTCAAAAAAAAAAAGGGGGTTGAAAAGTCAACAAAGAAAGGGAAAAGTGAACTTAGTTTTTATAGAGGAAAAAGAATGAGACAGAGAGACCGAGAGCTCGGGAAAAATAGAAAAGGAAAGAGAGAGAAAGAGAGAGGAAAGAAGAAATAAGAGGAAAGAGAAAAGAGGAGGGTTTTGCGCCGCGGGACCTCACCAAGCTGATTTAACTTCATATTGTAATGTTCGGATACCGAGTTTGACGGTTCGAGTAATCTTTGTTGTTTGGTCGTAAGCGTTCTCAAGTGAATAGTGCTATCTTTTTTATGGATTTACAAACTCATGTCTTAAAAGTGATAAGGATTTGAGTATCGTATATGTTATTAAAGCATACTTGTTGCATAAAAGTTTGGATCGGGCAATTACTACCTTTTTAATATATTTTTTGGTAACTGTTGTATCTCGACTATTCTCGAAAGCTAACTGCCCCCTTAAATCACAAGTTTGGAATCGAACTTGGCCTGCCCATCCAAGTATGTCATTATTACATTTTTAATATTTGAGAATGGTTTAATGAAAAGTATTGTGAAATGATACATATGTATCGTTTTGCGAACTGGTTTATGGAATGAGTTATGAGATGATTTGAGAAACATTACAAAAGGTTATACTTATCGATTTATGAATTTGGTTATGAAATGATATGATAAATGCCTTACGAAAAGGTATTTTTATTGGATGAACTAAGTTGCGAAAATTTATATGATTGGTTTGTAAAATGTATTGTGGATTATTAGAGAATGACTGTTTCATGCTCAATATCGCTATGAGCTCATTGAGGGGTAGGATATCCTTCTGAGCCGAGCCACCGGCTTTATAGGTGGAGACCTTGTCAAAGGGGGAATTTTGATCGCCTTATCACGAGGCGTTGTGTCGTGATCATGATTTGATATTGAGTAATAGATTGGTTGATATAATGAACCATCGACGTGTAATGTGATATAAAATTCATCAATAGAATAGACCATTGATGTGTGATTTGAGATTGGTTAATAAAATGGATCATTAATGTTTGTCTTGTGATGGTGATTAAATGAGTATTTCTAACTTGTACAAAATTTTGTGGAAATGAAACAACTCATATTTAATTTTATTTAGATTGAAGTATGAGTTTCTGGTATTGTTATATACATCATAGTGGATGCTCGATATATTTGAAGGGATACACATTACTTACTGAACTGTGGTTACTCACCCTTCTCTTTTCCAAATTTTTTCAGCTTCCTTGGTTAGTAGCTGATAGAGCGAGTAATATCAATGGGGATCTTTGGAAGTTTATTCTTTGATTGTGGTTTGAGGCTGCGTCCTTTGGTGGAAGGATAGCCGTGTCATTTTCCATTCCGATAGGTTTCGGGGTGTGACATTAAGAGAGACAATTTGTAATTTTATTAGAGTAAAAAAGAGAGGATGGGGGGCGGAAGAGAGAGAACTAACCACCTTCTGTACCATCGTTCAATCTCGCATTCTTCGACCAACGGCCATCTTCATCACCGTTGACCATTATCAACGAACTACAGCAGCCAATCACCACCACAGCACAACCATCGAGTTGAGATCAATGAATAAGAGAGAGCTAGAGAGAGTGTGTAAATATTAAGCATCCTTCATTTCATCCCCGGCTTTACGTGCACTGGTACAATTTGCAGGATTCTCTCATGGGTCAACGGGGAGAAAAGTGTCGAAAAAGTCCAAAACCTTTTGTATTGATGTCAATTGAGTCCGAAATCTTTTTTTGATGTCAATTCAGTCCTAAACTTTTTGCATTGGTGCCAATTCAATCCTAAACCTTTTGCATTGATACCAATTCAGTCTTAAACCTTTTTGTAGTACCAATTCGGTCATAAACCTTTTACATTGGTGTCAATTCAGTCCTTCCGGCTAATAGCTATTCACGTGTCAAGGGATTGAATTGGCACTAATGCAAAAGGTTTAGGATTGAATTGGCACAAAAAAATATTTAGGACTCAATTGGCACAAATGCAAAAGGTTTATGACTAAATTAATACCAAAAAAATGTTTAGAACTGAATTGGCACAAATATAAAAAATTTATGACTGAATTGACATCAAAAAATGGTTTATGACTAAATTGGCACAAATACAAAAGATTTAAGACTTTTTTTAACACTTTTCCCGGTCAATGGGTGTCCCTCGGTGGCTATTGTCAATCATATGGTTATCCCTGAAAGATAGGCAACTTTTTCAAGTGGTCAGTTTAATACTCTCTTTCGACCAAAACCAAAAAGTCAAATACTTTCTCTAAGCTCATGGGCGTTTCTCCATGAAAAAAAGTCAAAAACACCCATCTTGAGGAGTGTCTGATCTCTGAAACACCATTTTGAAGTACAGAATTCTACATAAAGTTGGTGTTTTCGAGGATTAGAAGGAGAACGCGTGGTCAAAAAGTAATGCAATTCTTTCGCTGTCCCAACATTTTTTCCGAATTATATCAGGAGCTAGATCCCGCAAACTGTTGTCCATCGAGCAGACAACAGTGGCCATTGTGATTTTGTCTGGAGAAGGTGATAACGTGTGAGAAGAAGTGTGTTCTTTAAGCAGCTCCCTCTCATTGAAAAGACCTACTCATCTGGAAAAGTTTATACGATGATGGAAGAGGACCCTATTTAGTGTAAAAATCATCGTCGCGCAAATTTTGATATGAAATTGACATAGACCAGGTTCATGTGCCAAGTCCATGCCATCCTTCTTGAAGGAAAGTCATTTCGATGGTGAAAGGGAACTCAATCAGATGGAAGTTTGTGCTCTAACGTGGAGATTAAGTACTGAGCTTATTATAATACCACGAAAAATCTCAAACTGATACCCTTGTGATAATTTTATCTCAAATTAATTTTTTTATCGTGAAAAACCTCAAACTGGTACACCTGTGATAAATTTACCCAAAACTAATTTTTGACCAAAAAACCCCGAACTGGTACATTTGTGACAAATTTACCCTCCGTTAGTTTCCATTAAATTGAATTAATACCAAAAAAAATCAAAAACTTAAAACATAAAATTGGTACATCCGTCAATTGCCGCGTGTTATTTAATAAAGCAATTTGACAGTAAAATTTAACAGAAATAAATCGAGGGTAAATTTGTCACAGATGTACCAGTTTGGAGTTTTTGGTAATCAAAAAATTAATTTGGGGTAAAATTATTACGGACGTACCAATTTGGGGTTTTTCGCGATATTAACCCTTATATAAAAATATAGAGTTGTCGAGATTTTACTTTTTGGGCCAACGATGCAGAGTTTTTGGGGGAAGATGCCCTTGAACGGGAACTCTTGGCCTTTCGATGATGATCTGCCCTTAGGCTTTCCGTTTCCCCTTATCTTGTTAGCAGATTTTTTGGTGTATTGCCTCATGGTTCTTGATACAGCTTGCAAATTTGTAAAAGAGGATGTCGGAATCTGCGGACTCAAGACATTGCATGTACATTCAACCTGCAGCCAAATGGGACATACGGTATTTTCGGAAGTATAGCTAGTGGAGGACATTAAAGAACTTTTACTTTGATTTTCCACATGGAGTGTAAGGTTCACAGAAAGAGAAAAAAATACAAGTCATGGTCATGACTCTCTTATCGAGCAGATAACATTGTCATGGTGATTTCGTTTGGCTGACTATGCGACGTGTTTTCTTGGAGTAGATTCCTTTCATTGAAAAACCCTGGCTCTTTTGGAAGAGGTAATTCAATGTCGCTTCCCAGCATCATAACCACCGCGGACATACTCGGCCTATCATCCGGGCATCGCTGCACGCACAATAGGCCAATATGAATAGACCGTAATGCTTCAAAAGTACTGCACGAGTTCTCAACCAACTTATCAAGCAACTGCATGGACCTGCCTTCTGTGAATAGTATCCAAGCCTGACCACATTGAGACCAACCATTAGGTGCAATTCTTGTGTTTAGAAGGTGAACGGTATTGTGAACTTACATGTCCAAGAAGATTATGATAATGGTCTGGATGTTGAAACCCTCTGTTTCTCAACCCGCTTACGATCTCAAGCACCAATACACCATAGCTAAAGACATCAGATTTTGTTGAGAAAACTCCATCAAGAGCATACTCTGGAGACATGTAACCACTACAGAAATTGATGTATTGAAACCATTAGTTGAAAAGCAAATTGAGCACAGAGGTCATCACTTTCTACATTAAAAGTTCTTACTATGTTCCAACCACTCTGTTAGTATTTGCCTGTGTCTCATTCCCTGCGAAGCTTTTAGCCAAGCCAAAATCAGAGATCTTAGGGTTCATCTCATAATCTAACAATACATTGCTCGCTTTTACATCTCTGTGAATAATCCTGAGTCTGGAATCTTGATGAAGGTAAAGAAGCCCCCTAGCAATTCCAATGATGATGTTGAAACGAGCTGACCAGTCCAGTTGCTCCCTCTGCGTTGGATCTGTCAAAAATTCATTTCACATTAGTAAACTCTGCACGGTTTGTAACTTACAAGGATTAAGGCATCAATTTAGTCATTTGCTAATTTGCTCCTCTAGTGACAGTATTTTGGAGCTTTCACAAAATTCTAGCATGCGTCTAAGGAATTGAGAAAGTAAGCAAACCAAAGAGAAATGAGTCCAAGCTTCTGTTGGGCATGAATTCATAGATTAAAATATTTTCTTCCTGAATGCAACATCCTAGAAGCTTCACTAGGTTCCGGTGCTGCAGCTTGGAAACATATATAACTTCATTCTTAAACTCATGCAGCCCTTGTCTTGAGTTCCTTGACAGCTTCTTCACCGCAATTTCTTGACCACCCTTCAACACACCCTGCATATGGTCAACTTGTTTAGTGAAAAATAATTGCTTGCCTACTCTTTTTCTCACTAGAATTCCAGTCACAGTAACTCAACATTTTGGGATCACACTATTCAGCCTCCCATCAACATATTCAGGTTTATTTTTATTAAAAAAATTATGCCAATGCAACAGAGATAGTACTTTACAATCCTCTAACAGCAACAATGTTCTTCACGAGAATAGCATGCGCGATTTTAGTACCTTGTAGACAGGTCCAAAACCACCTTCTCCAAGCTTATTGTCGGTTGAAAAGTTATTCGTAGCAATAGCTACTGTAGACAAGTCAAATAGCGGCAACTCAAGATCTTCCTTCTGGCTTTCGTAGTTATCTCCTGATTCCAAACTCCCCTTTTTACCTGTAGCACAAATTATATGGGAGTTGATTTGCTAGGACAGCAAATATCTGTGTGGCTTCTGCATTACTTCAGATTTCCTTCAATCATGATGCTACAAAAGCATGCTAATTTGCTAATAATGAAAGCATCGAATTGCGATCATATTAGGAAAACATGATTGCGATTGATATCTAGCAGTTTGACATTGTTTCGTACATCTGATACTGACGCACAAATGCCTTGAACGATTGGTTGAGACTAACTGATTTTGTCAGTTCATCATGGAATCTTTTATGTGACCTCTCATTGGTGATGTGGAATAGTTAGATAAAATTAATAGAAAGCCATATAACTGTTGGGCTGGGTGAGGATGAATGCTGAATGTGGCGTGAATGCAGAATCTCCTCTAATAATAGTCTTACTGAAAAAAACTTTGCTTCTACCAAAGGGTGATTAATGTAATGAACACGAGACAAGAAATTCTTGTGCTCAATTATAGAATAGGTATTGGGAGGTCTGGTAAAATACCTACTTGTTAGTGACGAAATGGCTAATGTAAAAACTGGGTATGATGAGCACCAGAATACAAAATCTGACAGTACCGTATCATAAAGTATGGTTTACCTTCGGCAAGCTCCATTTTCTTCTTGTATTGTAGAATGCAGATGGTAAGAACCAGGCAGAGGAAAACAGACCCGAAAGAAATTGCCAAGCCGATGACCAGCTTATGCTTCTTTTGGTGTGACGGTAGTAAACCTAAGAGAAGAAGCATACAGGATCAGGAGTAAGAACTAGGTATCACTGATATTTAACTTCTCTAAGCTCTCCTTCAAAGATGTACGTCCATTTTCCTCTTCAGTATCTAGCTAATTCCAGTCTATAATGAATTAATACCTGATTCTGATGCAGCCATCCGGATGTAGAGGTCCTGCCCGTAGTTGTTGTACTCTCTAATGTCAATCAGCTCGACCAACCACAGCAAGCAACCACTTCCTCCATCTCTGATGTCTAAGTTTGAATAAGCTGTACAGGAACAATTTTTCTTGCAAACGACTTCACATTCTTGAAGATTCATGCTCGTGTTAAACCAGGAAGACTGAGTATCCGGCAATTTTAACCAAGAATACTTCACAAATATGTCCTTGTCACAATCCAAAGGATTTCTCCTCACGCACCCATTTGACCAATCCAAAATATCCCATTCTTGAGATAATTGGGGCACAAAGCCTTTCAAGCACCTACACACTGGGGAAGTATCAACCCTACAGCTACCATAGGCACCACATGATGCATAGTTGTCACATTGGTCAATTGGTGCGGTGAGGTAAAGCGTCCAACCCTGCGTTCGGTCAATCCAAGTGAATCGTTGTACGATGCCATTGGGCATCAATATCTTCCTGGAAATGACCGAACTGTTGAGGAGCTCGTAGCGGTAGTACATCTCTTCCTCATTTAACACAAATTCATACCTGTAATATGGGTTTGGATTTAAATTAGGTGTGCCACTCCATCGAAGACCATTCCATGGTCCTGACCTGAACTTGATGTCAGAACCCTGCTTCAATAGGAGTTGTGGGTAGCCATTCGGATCAACTTGATACGTGAAGTTGCCCGGAGAAGGATCATCAATGCTCTTCCATGACGTTAAATAACGATTGAAGCCTGATGTTCTATTCCATCCTATCTTCATACCAGCTAGAAATGTATCTGTAGGATAGTCAAAACTCTGCCACAGGAAATTATTGGAATCACTGCCATCTGCATCTCTCACAACAAGATTTCCTGTATCCAAGAGCTGCGCAACTGGATTACGCGCTGGTATCGGCAAGTTGGACGACCAGATTTCACTTCCCATCCCGTCCAGAAGGACGAGACTTCCGCGGCTGGTAACCCTCAAAGTACTTGATGCATCTGCAAGGGGTGCGACTCTATTTGCAACCCACACTATTGTCATTGTGGTTATTTTCTTGTACCATATTCCCAGATATCGCTTTGGGGGATCGCCCGCACTGAAGAACCCCAGCTCAAATGTCCCACCAGCAGAAAGTAGGCTCTCGCCATCTCGAACTGACTGATTTGTTGTTATGGTATCTAGTGCAGTGGCAACAAGAGCATTACAAGAGAAGAGAACAAGACACATGAAAGGTGCCACAAAGGCTTTCATAATGCTTGAAGCAGTCGAGATTCTCCAAAGCTGCCAATCTGCTGAGTGAGCTTAAGAAAACAACAAAGGAGAAGAGAGATCGCTGAAGAGTGGAGACCCCTGCGATCTCAAGGCTGATCTTAAGCCAAAGGCTTTTTCGGTGAACTGTTAAAAAGCCGTCAGAAAAGGCCACTAGTTCCAAGTCAGCGCACCAATAAGACTGCCAACTATGACATCCATTTGTATTCTTGTGAGTCTCCAAAATTGAACACGCTATTGACTTAGACTAATTCCTGCTTCCCATTGATTGCCAATCCAAACTAGTTGAAAATCTCATTATCTCTTTATATAACATAGATCTTTCTCAATTTTCAATTAAATTTTGGGGTTTTCTGATTTCTTTGACAAATTGCGCAATTGGACTGACCATTATGTAATTCAAGGTCCCAGAATCATTTGTTGTGAAGACACTATGACTTAAAAATGACTAGAAAAAATTTAATTGCATTTTTGGTTCAATTTGGGTTTAATTTTGCCCAATTTTGGGAAAAAACATATATTTGATTGAGATTTTTCAAAATTGATGATGTATTCATGAAATTGGATTTGAAATAAGACTAATGCATATTTTTATAGAATTTTTTGATTCCATTTGCTATTTTTCTTGATTTTCTTACTTAGTTTGACTAAAAGAAATTAAGGAAAAATGCAGAAAAATGATAAAAAAAATTATTTTTTGGTTTAGAAGTAGGTTTCTATACTTGGCCAAGATTCCTAGTCCTAATTTTGAGATTTTTGAAAATATAAAAAAATGAGCTAAGAACCAAGTGTCAACACCATCGAGTTGAGATCAATGAATAAGAGAAAGAGAGAGAGAGTATAAATATTAAGCATCCTTCCCTTCATCCCCGGCTTTACTTGCACTGGTCCAATTTGCAAGCTATATTCTAAATCTCTCATGGGTCAATGGGACTATATTCTAAATCTCTCATGGGTCAATGGGTGTCCCTCGGTGGCCATTGTTAATCATATAGTTTTGTTTCGCCGAAATTGGACCATCACGAAGTATCTTTTACCGAAATTCGTTTTTTGGGTTCTGGGGCAATTCCGAACAAGAGTTATATCAATGGAGCACAACAAAGAGATACGCTTCAACAGAATTTAAAGCCTAATGACATAAAAAGTTTTGCTGAAAATTAATCGACGACAAAGTGTGATGATAAAGATACGAGTCAAAATTTAATCAATGACGAAAATCTAGAAACTACAACTAAGTTACATGCTAGAATTTAATCATGACAATGAGATATCTGAAACTATTACTAAAGTATAGAAATTGAAAGATATTTAAATTGCGGAAAAGTAAATATAAAGATAAATTTGCGAGAATATTGAGTTCTTTGATTGATTCTGAGGGCTTTACAAAAAGTGCACTTAGGGTATTTATAACCCTCTTCAGTTACAAACGGTAATACACATGATGGTGTCGCGACCTATCCCTCGAGGGCCGCTTCGGGCGTGGGTTTAGAGGTAATTTGTTCATGGGAATGTTCCGAATGGCATATCCAAAAGTCGGCTTAAAAATGCGTCATTCTTTGGATTTATCCATTAGGTTCATTTACCATGAACATGACTCTCCCTCAGTTCATACCTTGAGTGACACGGGATCATTTTTATGTTTTTATCAATTAAGAGTCACCACTAGCCTTTTGTCGGGGGTTGGCTAGAATACCCAATTGAAATGCGGGAATTTCGTTTCGACTTCCACGGAACTAGAGATATCTAAGTACGGGGACTAGGTTATGTTAATGTTTCCACTAACTCTTTTTCGATACCGCTAAACTTGTTATCTAAGTGGCCATGCATTTGTTTTTATCGTTTTCATGTCAAAGTCCTAATCCACTAAATGATCAAGCATCTTGTTTTAGTGTTTTTCCATTTAGGATTCTAAACTAATCCTATCTTAGTCTAAAAAAGAAATTAACAAACAAGTGTATTGAAAAGACAAAGCGTAAAGTAAACACCCAATGTATTGAAAGCGAGCTAATCTAAGAAAAAGGAAAGAAAAACCTGCAACTTGTCGGGCAATTATTACAAATTCAAACTAAAAACCCGAGACATGGTCGGGTATTGAATGAGGTACAAAGATGAGACTAGATTGGACATCGGTCTTCTGGCTTCTCATCTTCATGGCTGTTGGCCACTTCCTCCATGGACTGCCTCATGGGTGTCGGTTTTACATTCGAACCATATATTACGAACAAGTAACATGCAACTATATTTCGAACCATATATCCCCATCTAATCAACTAAGATTGCTTGATTAATGGTTAATGATAATCGGCCACCATTTGTATTCACAAAACAATGGTCGATATCATTTAACGCCTAAAGTCGGTTCTAAGTGATCACCATAGGCTATCCGCCGAACATCCATCGAACTTAAACATTCATCTAGCAAACACATGCATTAGCAAGGAATTAAACATGCGATTAGGCCAAATGAATCAATCACACAAGATGAAGTGAGCATATTGATGATCACTTATTCAATTACAGTATAAATTCAAGTAGATTCTGTTTAATCCTAATTGATCTAACAAACGAAATCTGATTGACATGATTCATGCATCATTAGAAACCTTAGGATGTGAGGATCAATGAAGACCATTTGGATTGGTTCTTACCTGATTTACTCGAAAATTGAGATTTGACCCAAATACCCCAAAGTCGACCCGGTTCAAGTCTGAGATTTTAAAAAATGTGGGAAAAATAGTAAACGATATCAAAACCACGTGAAATTTTGCAGGAAGTTAGGAAAACGTGTGATGAACAGCTTTCGTGTTTTAATTTTTTGCTAAAATCCCATGATTTTTCCCAGTAATTCAGTTTTTAATAGGGACTCAGTTGCAAAGAGTTTTTAAGGCCGGACCGACCTTATCCGAATTTTTTTTATTAAATTGACCCCCCAAATGTTGTCATTAGGTCCTCAAACTTTCGAGTTTTCAAATTGAGACCCCAATCAACAAATTTTGAGTTTTGCAAAAAAGGAATATAACTTTATGAAAATTTTCAAAACAACATTGATCACTGAAACCGGAAATGTTCGGATCAAACTACAGTGTAGAGGTGTTCTTTTCAAACATAAATCGGACCACTTTAACCAACATGAAATTGCATGAAATTTTGAGGTTTCACAAATCAGAATGTGTTCTACAACTTTTATGAAAAAAAAAATTTCAAATGAAGAACACAAAAAATCAGAAAAATCATCAAGCCATACAAGGTCAATCAGGAAGCACAAAAATAGAACACATGAGTAACTTATCTAGATTCTAATTTGAAGTTTCGACATCGATTTTGCATAGTAAATGACATCGTTCATGGCACACAATATACCAAATCGAATATTAGAACGTGCTTGTCGAATTACTAGTTAAGAACTTTTCCAGATTCCAACATCTTTGAACTCAAATCAGCAGCGAAAGGACACTAACTCAGAATAGCACTAAAATTGCAGAATATAACAACATGCTCCAAACATTCATACGATTCCTATGCATAGATTACTCAACATACAACATTCTACACACTCAATCAGCAAACATATCATCATAATTGGCCTTCATTCACTTCACACATGTATTTGGCCATCTCATTCCATCATCTCACCCCAAACTTAGTTTAGGAGCACATACTTTATACGATAAATTTGTCAAGCTTGTGTGAGCTATTCAGCCACCAATAGGCTTTGTAATGGCGCCCAGGATAGCTCTCCAATATCTAGATCACAACACAAACGGTTCGGTGTGAGAATATGATCCGAAGTTTTAGAAAGACCAAGAAGTAAACACTAGCGAAATCAAGTGAATACTGTGACTGTTTCGACGAACGCCAGCCACCACAGCCTCAAGGATGGATTGAGGAGGTTGGACATGAAGCTTGGATCGCCGGGAAGCCGCCGGACCGCTGAATCAGCTGCTAGGAATGCCGGCCAGCAGTACCGGCATGGATGCCGGTCTTGTATCCGATAGGAACATCGACTCGGATCGAGAAGCTCTGGCGTAGGATGACACCGGCTAGGGGGGGCCGTGAGGGACTTTGGAGTGGCGGTGGTTCACCGGAAGGAGGCCAGCGGCCGATCGGTAGGGCGATGAGAGTACTCGGCCGATCTAGAGAGAGATGAGAGTGTTTATCCTTTAGAGAGAGAATTTTAGATTTTAAATGGCTAGCCTCCTTTGTTTTGGAGGGAAAAAAAGCTTATATACCCCATTGAGTTCAAATCTAAGCCCTTGGATTAATCTTGTGGCTCGCATTACTTACTTAATGGCTAAGGATATCTCTCATTGATTAAATTTGGATCACTTGGATAGGTGATATGGCATGATGGATGGCCAAGATGTGCTTTGATGGATGGCCCAGATTATTTTCCTAGTCATTAAGTGAATGATTTGATTGGCCTAAATTTAATGACATGCATTGATGACATGGCACTCAAGGGTATTTTGATAATTTCTCAAGGGGTATTTCGATAATTTTTGCGCATAAGGGAGAGAGCTTGGCCAGCCAAGCCTTGCGTGGCCCAAAAAAGGCCAAGATCTGACCATTCCTTACTGGAATGGCTTTCCGCTGATTGGGACTAATTATGCAACCTAAAGGGGGGGAGGTGAATAGGTTGCTTTAGAAGTTTTAAAAACTTTTGCGAAAAACAGCGTGTAACAAATAGATATCGGGTTTCACCAGATGTATGAGTGGCAATGTACCACTTGTATGCTAGAAATGATAAACAGAGGAATAAGCAGCTACACACAAGGATATATAGTGGTTTGGCTTTGATTCCAAGCCTACGCCCACTCTTACCACTAACAGCCATAAGTTGGGTTGGATTGCACTAGTAATTTGCTGAACAAGTTACATTCGGTGTACACCACTCCTATCAATTGATAAACCACACTACCAGGAGGTGGATGCAGCTATTACTTGGTATACTTGAACTTTCGACATAATTACAATGCAGCAAGTGCTATCGATAGACAGAAGCTTTTTGCTCAGTATACAACAAGTAGTAGATTTCTTGAATTTTATGAGTACTCTCTCACTTGTTGGCTTCAAAGACCTTTTCTTTTATAGG